ATTATCAAACTACTTAAATATATATGTTTTCAATATCTATATAAATTAAAATGTAAATATAAAATATGGTATATTGATATAATTTCATTTTATAAATAGTTTATACATTATATATATATATTTATAAAATATAATTTAAAAAACTTTGAGACTGACAAGATTTATTAACAACATTCTCTTTATAACATTTCTTATCAATGCACTATGTATATACATATATATATATATATGTGTGTATATACACACACACACACACACACACACACATATATATATCAGGCTTCCCAAGTGGCTCAGTGGTAGAGTCCTGCTGCCAATGCAGGAGATGCGGGTTCCATCTGTGGGTCAGGAAGATCCCCTGGAGGAGGAAAATGGCTCCAGTATTCTTGCCTGGAGAATCCCATGGATGGAGGAAACTTGCAGGCTACATACAGTTCATAGGGGTCACACAAAGAGTCAGACATGACTGAGCGACTGAGCACATATGCACAAAATTTTACAAAGCCATCAAAAGGTTTCTGATCCATGAAGTCCTGAGTTTATAAAGTAGAAGGGTGTGTGGGGCAGTGTGTGCATGTGCACTGAATAGGGCTCTGAATGAATATTGGAGCTCAGACTTGGTGGGGTCTCTGCCCAGAAGAAGGGGCTCTACTTGATTTTACAAGCTGATTTGGGTACACGGAGGAAAGAGGGGGAGATTTCATTCTAGTCTTGGAGAAGTTTGGAGGTGACTTTCAACCCAGCTCTCCATACCTTACAGCCAGTAATCCTAAAGAAAGGTGAAAGTGTTAGTCACTCAGTCGTGTCTGACTCTTTGTGACCACATGGACTGTAGCCCACCAGGATCCTCTGTCCATGGGATTTTCCAGGCAAGAATACTGGAGTGGGTTGCCACTCCCTTCTCCAGGGGGATCTTCCCAACCCAGGGATCAAACCCAGGTCTCCTGCATTATAGGCAGATTCTTTACTGCCTGAGCCACCAGGGAAGCCCTAGTAATCCTAAAAGAGATAGCAACTAAATAGAAATGATTTGTTGGAGCCTGCTTGCTTTGAGTATTTGCAGTGATGCTGAAATCAAAGCCCTCATGCTACCTGGAGCTTTGAGAGCAGGATCTTGGGGTGGGGTTTGTCCAGCGCTCTGGGTGCTCAGATGTACTCTACCAGAAACCAAATGCACCCCTTGAGAAAGTCCAAGTGCCCAGAGTTTTGGTGATGAATCCATGTCAGAGTACAAGTGTAGACCCCTTCCCGGTGCTTAGTATCTCCAAGAATGCTTACATGGGGTCCTTCCCAATTAATACTGTAATAAGGAAAAATGAGCTAATATTCGGAAAGCATTTAGAACAACGCCTTGTGCATAGTAAGCACTACCCAAGGGTTAAAGAAATATATGTGAAATGAAAATTTTGTGCCCATTTTCAAAGATTTATCACTTTGGACAAAAGGTATTTTAGTGGTGTATGTGGGACAGTGTTAATAGGATTATAGAAAAGGAAATAGTTTGCTGTGACCCTAGATGGATAGAATTGTGGAATTTCAAGTCCACCTGGACAATTCCTAAGAACTAATCTTGTGTAAACATCTGATCTGGCTCAATGTCCAGAAAAATAAGGGACTTGTCCAATACTCAGAACTGGTTGCTTCTGAGCCTAGGCCTTCTGATGTTCTGAGAGCCTCATCTTTGATTAAGTACAGTGATAGAAGCCTTTAAATAAGTTAGAAGAATCTTCAGGGGAAAATAAACACTGGGCAGAATCTGCTAGTCTGAGACTGATTACCTTTGACTAGGCAAGAGAGACCCATTCTGTTGGCAAAATGTAGTGCTGTTAAGACAAGCAAAGGGCTTTGAGCACAGGATTAGACCTTAGGGAGAAAAAAGGTGAAGAGGGGCAGTGTAGGGAGATTCACAGTGAGGGCATACTGGCTATAAGCTTCTACTCGCGATTCAGGATATCAGGAAGCTTAGTCTATGTGGGCCTCTTTCTGCATAATACAGACTAATAATTACACAGTCTCCCCTACTCCTGCCCCCAATAAGCCAAATCCCAAAGGAAAACCCTAGAGAGTCTATAGACGTGGAGACACTTTCTAAGGGTGGAAAACTTATATACCCTTTATTTTGGGGGAGACAGTATGTACTCTGAAGTGCTGTTCTATTCTTTTTTAAACTTTCTGCATATATTTACAGATATTAGTTATTTGTTTGGGTTTTTTTTTTAAGTTTTTGGCACATTAAATGGAGAAGCAGGGGCTTCCCCAGTGGTCCAGTGGCTAAAACTTTGTGCTTCTAAGGCAGGAGGCGCAGGTTCGGATCCCTGGTGGGGAAACGATCAATAGATCCCACATGCTGCAGCTAAGAGTATATATGCCGAAATTAAAAGATCCCGCATGCTGCAATGAAGATGGAGAATCCTGCGTGTGGCAACTAAGACCCAGTGCAGCCAAATAAATAAATATTAAAAAAAATAAAATAGTGCTTTAAGAAATAAAAAATAAATCGAGAGGCAGACTAGTTGAGTCAGTAGCTCGCCAGAGACAATACTGGAGACCGCAGTTTTCATGGTGATTCAGAGCAGAGAAAGGTCCCTGCCCTTTGCAGCATCCAGGGCATCAGCACAACAGGACTTGACCACTTGCCCCATTAACTGACTGACACCCACTGGGCTAAATGTGATCCTTGGGTTCTATCCTCAGTTAAGAAAGAGGAAGGAGGGGAAAAAATGAGATGGGAGGGGAAAAAAAGAAAATAGGAAGAAATACACATCATGGGGAGAAAAAACCACCACCAGTAATGTAAAGGGGGCAATCAGGAGAGCGGGGCCAGAGCCTGACCTGCCATGTGTTGTGGGCCAGGCATGCACCTGTCTGACTCTTAGCTTCTTCACCTAACCTCCTATGTGGGGCCCTCATTAAAAAAATATAGAAGTGATTGAAGTAGGAAATGTGTGGTCATTCGTGAAGTTTTATTTTTCCCGCCTCTATTGATCCTCACAACACCTCGTTTCACTTGGTATTTATAATTGTTATCCTCGTTTTAAAGATACTTGAACCAAGGCAAAGAATAAGCAGCTCACCAGATTAGCCAGGTTGCCTGTGAATGAACATAGCTAGGGTTTAGATGCATGCAGTCATTCTGGCTCCAGAGCCGTTGCTTTCATAAATTGGTTCCATCAGATCATGATTCCCATCTACCTTTGCTTAGAATGCGGCTCCATTTCTAATTTTTAATTTAAAAATTAACATTATATTAAATTTAACTTTAAAATTTTAAATAAAACTATTACCATGACTGTAGGGCAATAGTTACCTGGGATACATGGGTGACTGGAGGTTAGATAACACTGGAGGACACCTTCGGCCCTGGAAGAGGGCATGGTAACCCACTCCAGTATTCTTGCCTGGATAATCCCATGGACAGAGGACCCTGGCAGGGCTACAGTCCATAGGGTCGCAAAGAGTCAGACATGACTGAAGGGACTTAGCATGCACACTCCCTGAAGTGTCACAGATGTCCTAGTCTAATGCAAACTATGAGGAGAACCTGTGTAGGTCTCTCATGTAATAACTGCTCCAAGGCCAAAAATTCATCACAGAGAATCTAGCCAAGAGATCAGGAGGCCTGCATAATCCAGCAAGAGTTAGTCTGAGGATGGAATATCTTGGTTAAAGTCAGGGAGGCTGTAGGATTGCCATCCTTTGACGTCTTTTTTAAAGTAAATTGTTCAATCGCCCTCTTTTAGATGATTTCTTAGCCATCCTCCAGAAACATGAGGCAGGGGCCACTTATCTATCAGGCACAGTAAATGAGGTGCTTAAGCCCTGTGATCCCACGAAAACAATTAAATTTCTTTCATAAAAGGATGCTGAAGACAATGGTGGTTGTGACGGTAAAAAGAGGATAAATCATATATGATACTAAGCACAGGGCCCATTATGAGAAGCTATTTTGAATATTCAGGATATTAACAGCTCCCAGAGCATCTACAAAACACAACTTGAAGGGAGAACCATAGAGTTCTCAATCTGGCCTGGATCTCTTTTATTTGACAATAAATAAAATGTAATTTTGTCCTAAACAAGAGATTGGAATGTTATTCCTAGTGAAAGGGAGGGGGGAAGGGGGAAATTCACCTGGGTTCACAATAGGAGCTCAGCGCAGGACGGATTGAACTTGTGCAGAAGACCTGCACCAGAGCCGCTGAGCCGGAGCACAGCAGCAGATGCGTACTGCACTGTGCTGTTCTAAGCCCGTGCAAAGCAAACGTTCTTAGATACACTAAGCCCGGGGCTGTGGTGCACACCTGCACTCTGATGTGCATACATTGCTAAAACCCCGGAGTGCTTAAATTTTCTCAAATGTAGCGAGTTTCTTGCAGAGCTTATCTGTCCCAGAATCCTTTGCAGTCCAGCTGCGAGATCTTGCTCCCAGCAACAGCGGGAACATCGTGTGCTCTGGAGAAGCTCAGAGCAAGCAGTACCCTAGTTAATTGTTTCACCTTAATCACTAGCCCGTGGCATGTGCAAGCTGGCAAATATGAAAGGTTGGACCCTGTAAGAGTCTGCAAACTTTCCCACAAGGGCTCCTGCTGTTATTGTGAGGTCTCATGCCTCCCACCCTTCCCCTACTCCTCCCCTCAAAATCAACTTGCATTACCCAGGATAGCCCCTTCCTCAGGGTGGACACTCTGCAAGTGGGGAGTAGTGAACTGAACTGTAAACCAAAGCCCCAATTCCACAATACCCATGCCCCCACCAGCACACTGCTCTTCCTGGGTGTCCCCATTTTGGGAGCCACACCCCTGCTGCTTTCGCGCCTAAGCAAATCCCACCCCCAGTGACTACCGTTAAAAATGAGCCAATAGCGATCGTTCAAGTTGGAGCGTGGAGCGTGTGTGTGGGGGGGGTGAACCCAGCCCAAACCGTTATATACCGCGCCACACCGGGGCTCTCTGCCTTCAGCAGAGCTCCTCGAGGCAGCGAGCTTCCACGGCACACCAGCCATGGAGTCTCCGCCCGAGGACCACCAGTGTGGGCCCTACTGCGTGAGAGCTTGCACTTTGGATGTGAGACCTGAATTTGAGCAGGATCGAGAGCCGGAAGACAGAGACGGCTACTTGGTGCAAGGAGGTCGTCTGGCCTTCGTGGGTGGCGTGAATTACGTCAACCTCCTCAGCCTCGGCTACTGGAACCAAGGAGCCGTCTGGAACCACCAGGGTCGCAATGGTGGTGGCCAGGAGCCGGAGCAGCAGCCAGAGGAGGAGCCAGCGGAGGGGCCAGCGGAGGGGCCACCGGAGGAGCCAGGCTTAGCGGCGGCTATGGTCCAGGCGCAGCAGCAGCAGCAGCAGGGCCCGCCACGCCGCCGTAGGCAGCACAGGAAGTTCACGGCCATGCAGCTGCAGGAGTTGGAGGAACTCTTCCAGGAGACTGAGTACCCGGACCTTCTTACCAGGTACTTGGCGGGCTCTGGGGGCGCTGGGTCCCAGTGGGTTTGGGCTCATTTCCAGCCTCCTCTATCCCTCTGTCGGGACTGTTCGTTCCCTTCCAAAGCCACAAAATCAACCTGTACCCCGGGATGGGGGTGGGGGTAGGAATGCCTTAGTTATGTGGATCCAGTCTGGAAAGTGGTCCGTGGTGGTGGTTGTTTTTTAAACTGTGGGAAAATGTATGTAACCATAAGATTTACTGTTTTAACATTTTAAGTGCCCGGTTCATTAGTGTTAAGGATATTAATATCGTTGGGCAAGCAAACTGCAGAATTTTTTAACTTGCAAAACTAAAACTGGATGTGGAAGGCAAGCCACCATCCGCCTCCCCCACCCCGTCGAGCCCCTGAGGACCACGTTTCTTTCTACTTTCTCTTTATATGAATTTCACTACTCTGGGTGCTTCATATAAGTGGAGTTGTACAGTGTTTGTCTTGTTGTAATTGGTTTATTTCACCTAGTATAATGTCCTCAGTATTAATCCATGTTGGAGCACACGTCGGAATTTCCTTCCTTTTTAGGGCTGAGTAATATTCCATTATACATGAATACTGCTGTTTATCTGTTCCTTTATTAATGAGCACTTGGGTTGCTTTTACCTTTTGGCTATTGTGAATAACGCTGCTATGAGCATGGGTGTGCAAATAACCAACTCACTGTTTTCAGTTCTTTGAGGTTTATACCCAGAAATGGAATTGCTGAATCATATGGTAATTCCGATTTTAGGTTTTTTTTTTTTTTCTTTTGAGCTACTGTTCTCTTTTCCATAGTGGCCGCACGATTTTACATTCCCACTCGGAGTGTACAAGGATTCTAATTTCTGCACATTCTTGCCAATGCTTTTCTTTTTTTTTTTTTTGTTTTTTTATTATTAGCCGTCTTATTGAGTGTGAAGTGGTATCACTGTGATGTTGATCTGCATTTCCCTGTTGATTAGTGATGTTGAACATCCTTTAATGTGCTTATTCAAATCTTTTAACCATTTTATGCTTTATAAAACTAATATATATATTTTTTTTCTGAATTTTTATTGTAAAATACACATAAAATTTGCTATCTTAACATTTAAAGTTTTTCATTTATTTGTCTTTGAACTTGGTCTTAGTTGCATAGGACTTTTCTCTAAAGATGGAGGCAGGGGGGTGGGGGAGTGCACTACTCTCTAGTTGCAGTTCCCGGGCTTTTCGTTGAGGAGGCTTTTCGTTGAGCGGGCTTTCTTCACTACCGTGGTGTAGTGCGCGGGCTTTTCGTTGAACGGGCTTTTCGTTGCGCGGGCTTTTTTCACTACCGTGGTGCAGTGCGCAGGCTTTTCGTTGCACGGGCTTTTCGTTGCGCAGGCTTTTTTTACTACCGTGGTGAAGTGCGCAGGCTTTTCGTTGCGCGGGCTTTTTTCAATACCGTGGTGCAGTGCGCAGGCTTTTCGTTGCGCGGGCTTTTTTCAGTACCGTGATGGCGGTGCGCGGGCTTTTCATTGCGCGGGCTTTTTTCAGTACCGTGATGGCGGTGCGCGGGCTTTTTGTTGCACGGGCTTTTCGTTGGGCGGGCTTTTTTCACTACCGTGGTGCGGAGCGTGGGCTAGGGCGCCCCCTGGCTTCTTTTACTGCAGAGCGTGGGCTAGGGCGCCCCCTGGCTTCAGTAGTTTGCAGCACCTGAGCTTCAGTTCCTTCAGCTCCCAGGCTTTAGAGCACAGACGGTAGTTGTGGTGGCCGGGCTTGGTTGCTCCATGGCTGCTCTCTAGTTGCAGTGCGCGGGCTTTTCATTGCGAGGGCTTTTTTCACTACCGTGGTGCAGTGCGCGGGCTTTTCGTTGTGCGGGCTTTTTTCAGTACCGTGATGGCAGTGCGCGGGCTTTTTGTTGCACGGGCTTTTCGTTGCGCCGGCTTTTTTCACTACCGTGGTGCGGAGCGTGGGCTAGGGCGCCCCCTGGCTTCTTTTACTGCGGAGCGTGGGCTAGGGCGCCCCCTGGCTTCAGTAGTTTGCAGCACCTGAGCTTCAGTTCCTTCAGCTCCCAGGCTTTAGAGCACAGACGGTAGTTGTGACGGCCAGGCTGGCCAGGCTTGGTTGCTCCGTGGCATATGGGATCTTCCCTGATCAGGGATCAAATCCATTTCTCCTGCATTGGCAGGCGGAGTCTTTACCACTGAGCCACGAAGGAAACCCCTTTACCATTTTTAAGCATACACTTCCATGATATTAAAATAAGTACATTCTTATTGTGCAACTATCACCACCAAACCACCTCCAGAATGCTTTTCCTCTTGCAAAACTGGAACTCTGAACCCATTACATAGGAACAGCCTGTTTCCCCCCTTCTCCCAGTCCCTGATAACTGCTATTCTTTCAGAGAGGTCTTGAGGGGAGAATGCAAATTTTAAAACAAGCATAAAACATATCTATATATTTCATTTTGTCTATAACTCAAATACTAAACACTTGTGTTTTTCTCTCCTCAGACGGGAGATTGCGAGACGCTTGGGTGTGACTGAAACCAGAGTGCAGGTCAGTAAGTCTGAAAAAAACTTTTTCTAAAATTGACCTGGGGATTTGAACACCTTGTCCTGAATACTCTTGATACTCTCATGTTGTCTTTTTTTATGTTGGCAAATAAGTTTTGATTTTAGTAGTCTTTGTGGGTAGCAAACTTAAGATTATACATATTTCCTGATACCAGAGGGAACATGATTTCCTAAAGGAAGAGAAACAACGAAATGCTTTCCCTAATCTGTATATAAAATTTCAATATATATGTATACATATATTTACAAACATAGATATGTATATCTATATACATGTATATATGTATATTTAGTAAAGTTCAACTCCTAACAGTGGTATCCTCTAGGGAGCACTTCTGTGTGGAGTCATGTTGGGGCTCAGACTGACTTCAGAAGTATTCAAATTAATATACAGAGGAGCAGGTTGTAAGAGGGTTCAATTGTACTATATTATTTAAAAGCAGGCATAAACTCTTTGCTAAATGAGTGAATTGATAAATATCAGGGTGAGGGAGTAATTTATCCACAGAACACACTATGTGAGTGACTAATAAATGCTGAGACTGATAGGGGAAGATAGTTTAAAAGTCTAATTGACTGGCCCTCCTTCTTTTGTTTTTAAGTGTTTGGGATGGCAGTATAGAGACTAGCGGCCCTAAATTTTAATTTTCTAGAATACTTGGATGTGTCAATCTGAAAGCATCGCTAGAATAGTCACATTAAGATGAGAATGGGGGGAAAGTTTGCAAACTTTGGAAATTTGTCTAAAGAATAAAACAGCAAAAAGAATAATATTGAATTAATATTAATTGACCCAAGAAGTATGAAAAGGTTAGAGAAGAAATACAGATACTACACAAATTCAACATTATGAATTTACTAAATGTATAAGTGAGTATTCTTTTGAGGAATTTCTAACGTCTAAGGATGTTTTTCACATTTTGGTAGGACTATTTTTTTAATTAATTTATTTTAATTGGAGGCTAATTACTTAACAATATTGTGGTGGTTTTTTCCACACATCGACATGAATCAGCCATGGGTGTACATGTGTCCCACCATCCTGAACCCCCCCACCTCCCTCCCCCCTGCCAGCCCTCTGTATTGTCCCAGAGCACGTGCTCTGAGTGCCCTGCTTCATGCATCAAACTTGCACCGGTCATCTATTTTGCTTATGGTAATACACATGTTTCAATGCTATTCTCTCATATCATCCTACACTTGCCTTCTCCTTGGTGGGACTATTTTGAAGGGGCAAGTTTTACAGAATCTGTTAGGTGAGGGGTGGGTGGCCCTCATGTCAGGGTAGATTCCTAGCTGTATTAATATCAAACGCTTTTCATTCCCTCAGGCAGTGATAACCAATTTGTAGGTCTTGAGATCAAAAGGTGACCAAAAAACACCATAATTTTTATCAAAGCTTTATTTGCCCAAAAAGAAAAGAATATCAGGACGAGAGTTGATTAGCTTTGCCACAGAGCGCATGCATGAGCCAGGGACCAGCACTGCAGAGCTGGTGGCGGGGTGTCTGAAAAGCAGCCCAACAGTCAGCCTCTTGAGTATCAGCATCCTAACGCCCCAGCCTGGGCCCACAGGCCTGGCTCAGGTCGGAAAGGTTAGAAGGAGGTTAGGAAGACTTTCTCAAGCTGCCCAGGCATTTGCAGAAGAAGAGAAAAAGTTTAGTGATTTGCTTTCTCCCTCACCAGATTTACATGGTCCTCTTTTGGTGATATTCTGAAGAGAATATGAGCCACAGGAAACAAATCAGGGGAAAACTTAATATTCTCATCTATTTCCAAACCATACAGCATGAATTTTCAGTAATACACGATTTTCTACCTTTCACTTGCAAATAGAGTTATTTTGTGAAACCAGTATTGGAAATACAGACCTAATGTGAGCTTAGGACACAACCAGCTTTGGGCTTTGATTCTGTTTACAGAGATTTGACCACTGGTGGTACATTTAGAGCCCCTCCCGGCTCAAAATAAGCCCTGTTACACCAGCCTGGTTTAGACTATCCATGCAGCAGAGAGACTGCAAATCCTAAAAGGGAAGAATGAAAATGAGGTCTCAGGAAGGGAAAGAGGGCCCTTTGGGTCACTTAAACTTTACAGTTTGGGAACTTTCAAAAGGATTGAAATACAGTGTCAACCCCCATTAACTAGTACATTGAGAGACAGTGAAGTCTGACAGTTTTGTTGGTTTGTTTGCAAAAATAGTAGACAGACTTACTTTTCAACCGGCCCTCCAACTGTAGTTCTCCTCCCCAAAGCAACCATTCTTTGCTTAATATAAATCTTATTTTTTAGTTTTTATTGGAGTATAGTTGATTTACATTGTTGTGTTAGTTTCAGGTGTACAGCAAAGTGGTTTCGTATAAATCTTAACAGTATTCAATGCATATAAAGGCAATTATGTGTATATTCTTTAAAAAATATAAATGATAGTATCCTATACACACACTGTTCTTCACCTTAATAATATAGCTTGCTTAGAGAGTGTTCCATGTTGATAAAAAAATCTATATTAATATATAATGGGCAGATATTTAGGGAGGAGCCATTTAATGATCCCTTGCTCTCATTGTTGTCCACTATCTTCCAAAAATGCATGTTTCACCTTCTTGCCTTAAGAATAAGGGATGGGATTGGGACCTCCTGGTTGAGTTGCAGCACCTAGGATAACCTGCCATGCTGGACACCTGCGGCTCCAGTCCAGGATCCTGGAACTCTAGCCAGAGCAGAATGAGCTGCCTTGGTCCCGAGCCCAGGAAGGTTTGTAGGGTGGGGTAGGTTGGAACATGCAGAATTGACAACGGTGACCATGGTATGCCTCTTTCCCCTACACTCTTGGGTGGCCTAAGGTTTTCAAGAGTCTTTGTTAACTTGGGTTGAGTTGATCTTAACACTACAGGCTAAAATATCAAGGCAGTGTCCAGAGCTTCAGCAACTCTCATTTCCTGGAGACATAAGTCACAACCCACCCTGGGCTCCTTTGCCAGACCACCTTTCTAACTCTCAAGACCTTTCAGAGGACTAATGACCTCTTAGACATCCTTCTGTTTAAAAATCCAACAAGTTCCTTCCTATTAATTATTTACTTCATACCAAAGATAGGCTTTTCAAATAGGGAGCTGTTCCCCTCAGTATGACCTTAAATAGATCCACTGCTTACCATGCCTAAATCCACCCCCAACAAGATGACCCTCTCCCTAGTGAGGACAGGGCAGGAGATAGCCAGATGGCTGATGATCAGCTGTCAGAATAGAGACCATTCTTTATCCTGTTACTGGGCATTTTATCAATAGCAAGGACCCAGTACAATGATTCATAAACTAAACCTGCATCCAATACTTGGGAAAAAATAAAATATGAAAATTTCGTGGAGAGAGATAAAAATAATAAGGTTATGCCAGAACTGGGCCCACAGCAGAGCTCATTAAGAATGAGCTGAAAAGAGGGGGGTGGTGATTTAATTTTCCTGAGGTACCTTAGCAAGAAGGAAATAGCATCTCCTAATGCCCTTGGAAATCTCAATGTCATATAAAGTTGCAAGCTGTGTTTTTTGTATTATGACATTAACTGTTCAATACTCTAAACCAATCTTTTCTCCCCTCTCATTGTAGATTTGGTTTAAGAATAAGAGAGCCAAGAATCGGAGAAATGAGAGAGCAGCCATGGTTCAAGCTCCACCACCTGCTGCCTTAAGGCAACTTTACTTCTTCCTGACGGATGTGCCCTAAGATCTCGTCCGGGTTCTGGAGCCATACTGGAGATGGGTTCTTCTGGTGCCACTGACACCTGGGCTGCCCATGCTGCCCATGCCACCCATACCTCCTCTATACTTGTATAAGCAATAAAGAGATAAATTCTCAATATATTTGACTCTGTGTATCAAATGGGGCCAGTGGGTTATGTGTGAAAATTGTTAAGGAAATGCCATTTCAACAGAATGACAAGGTGACCTCCTTCCATGAGGTGACAAACCGGAATCACTACTAGTAGGTCCTGTATATGTTGCAGAAGTTTCCCAAGCATGCATGGTGAGTTTGCACTGACCCATATATTCTCCTCCATCTCTCTCATCACCCCCACTCTTATCCCGCACCCTGCCCCTTTGGGACCACATACATATGCACAATGGGGTGGGATGAGTCCCTAGTGTGAGAACAGGGTGTTTCCAGACAGGGATGAGCTCCATTCATGCTGACAAGTTCAAGCTGAACACTGGAATCGTAAGGCCATCTTCCCTTAGGAGGCTGCTTGCAAGGATCGTGGGAAGGTGATAGTCAAGCATTCATCCCACGTGCTCCAAATTCTGTTCACTGTTCTCTCTAGGGAGAAGATGGGGGAATAGAGTCCTGGCACACAGGTTCTGCTGCTTCAAAAGAAACATAAGAGACTTCATCAGGCCAGAAAAAGGCACTTCTCCCTTTTTTTCCCCTCTACCCACCAGCCTGAGTATATTCTTAACTCTTCACACCAGCATATTCTATATTCTTCACATCAGCATATTTTTCACTTTTCCAGCTCCGTTCAGTCGCTCAGTCGTGTCCAACTCTGCAACCCCATGAACCGCAGCACTCCAGGCCTCGCTGTCCATCACCAACTCCCGCAGTCCACCCAAAACCATGTCCATTGAGTCGGAGATGCCATCCAACCATCTCACCCTCTGTCGTCCTCTTCTCCCGCCCTCAATCTTTCCTAGCATCAGGGTCTTTACAAATGAGTCAGCTCTTCACATCAGGTGGCCAAAGTATTGCAGTTTCAGCTTCAACATGAGTCCTTGAATGTCATCACCCTTGATAATCACCCATGATAATCACCCAGGACTGATCTCCTTTAGGATGGACTGGTTGGATCTCCTCGCAGTCCAAGGGACTCTCAAGAGTCTTCTCCAACACCACAGTTCAAAAGCATCAATTCTTCAGCACTCAGCTTTCTTTATAGTCCAACTCTCACATCCATACAGGACTACTGGAAAAACTATAGCCTTGACTAGACAGACCTTTGTTGACAAAGTAATGTCTCTGCTTTCTAATATGCTGTCTAGGTTGGTCATAACTTTCCTTACAAGGAATAAGTGTCTTAATTTCATGGCTGCAATCACCATCTGCAGTGATTTTGGAGCCCCCAAAAATAAAGTCAGCCACTGTTTCCACTGTTTCCTCATCTACTTGCCATGAAGTGGTGGGACCGGATGCCATGATCTTAGTTTTCTGAATGTTGAGCTTTAAGCCAACTTTTTTACTCTCCTCTTTCACTTTAATCAAAAGGCTCTTTAGTTCTTCACTTTCTGCCATAAGGGTGGTGTCATCTACATATCTGAGGTTACTGATATTTCTCCCGGCAATCTTGATTCCAGCTTGTGCTTCCTCCAGCCCAGCGTTTCTCATGATGCACTATCACAACTTCAAATTTATTTTGTCAGCTTCAACATCCAATTTCTGCTCTTGACCAGTAAAAGGGAACCTCTTGGTTTAATGGTGCTCCAAGCAAAAATAACCAGATGTTTTCCCAAGCAGTGCTCCAGAATAATCACTCTGCAAAGAAACAGTCATGCCTTTGCTTTATTCGTATTGTTTTCCTTTGCTGAAATGACCAGGGTAAGAAAAAAAGTAAATTGAGGAGAGTGAAAACCAGGCCTACTTTTCAAAAAGCATTTATTTCCTCTCAACTGAACCCTTCTTGTTTAATAATCTTTAGTAATGTCAGGGTCCTTAAATGAAGTTTGATATTAAAAGTGATTAAAAATTGCAGTGACTACAGATAAAGTGCTGTAGTTACATGAGATTTCCTTTCATGGAAGTTAATCAAAGACCAGTTTCACAGCACTTCTGTGCACACACACGAAGGAGAGAGTTTTCTCAGGAAAGCATACACTCCTTGCCACAGTGTCCACTACTTTCGGAGGATTACCAGGTGGCTCAGTGGTAAAGAATCCACCTGCCAATGCATGAGATGCAAAAGAAGTGGGCTCGATCCCTGGGTCAGGAAGATCCCCTGGAGAAGGAAATGTCAGGTCATTCCACTATTCTAGCCTGGAGAATCCCGGGGACAGCCTGGTGGGCTACAGTTCATGACTGAGCTGTAAGGACATGAGCTCTACAGGACATAACTGAGTGACTAAACAAGCACTCATTTTTATTCTGTCTTACCACTTCTCTTACTTGTGAGTGTCAAATGTCACCAAGTGGTTGTCATGTCAGGCTTCCACAGAGAGAAGGATGTTACTGCTACCGAGAGACACCAGGACTTGTTGGCAGTGGGAGAAATTTGAGAATGTTCCCATGTATGCCCACTGTCATTCTCACCAGATGATTTTGACATAAAAAATTCTTATTTCCTAGTATGGACCACTATCCTTTAAAAAAATGTTTTTAATATTTATATTTATTTGGCTGCACCAGGTCTTAGTTGCAGCATGCTGGATCTTGGTTCCCTGACCAGGGATGGAACCCCAGCTCCCCGCACTGGGAGTGTGGCGTCTTAGTCACCAGACTGCCAGGGAAGTCCCACCACTGTCCTTTTTGAAACATTAGGTTTCTCAGTACTTTAAGGACCCTCAAACTACAGGGCCTGTACCAGAAAGCTTCAGGACACTGTCAGACCCACTCCTAAGCCCTTCTCCACTCTGGCTACAGTGCAAAGGACCACATTCAGCCTTTCCAACCTGCGACTGAAAGCCAGAGAATACTCAGCACAAATCCTCCAGTCAACCCTCACAGCAAGTCTGGTACACACTAACAAAGACCTTTTTTTTTTTTTTTTTTAATGCTCAGGCTGCCTGGGAGAAACAAACAAAAAAAGGGAATATCTATCCTGTAAGTGCTGGCATCTTCATTATACACTTTTACTATTATTTGGGGGGACAGTGGAGCACACAGGATCTTAGTTCCATTACCAGGGATCGAATCCATGACCCCTATAGTGGAAGTGTGGAGTCTTAACCAATGAACAACCAGTGAAGTCTCCATTCTTTTTTAAAACATGTCTCTACTTCTTTCAGATGCCAGACGAACTAAGGCAGAGAGGTGGCATGAGGCATAAGAAATCAACAAAACGGGGACTTCCCTAGTGGTCCACTGGCTAAGATTCTGAGCTCCTGGTGCAGGAGGCCCCAGGTTCGATCCTGGTTGGGGAACTAGATCCCACAAGCCCCAACTAAGAGTTTGCATGCCACCACTAAAGATTCCACATGCCAAAACTAAGACCTGGTACAGCCAAATAAGTAAATACATCTTTAAAAAGAAAAGAAATAAAAAAGAAAGAAAGAAGAAAGAAGCAAAACATTGCTGTGGCTAATAATTTACCCTTAGTCTAGGTTTGCCAAGAGATAGGTCTTCTAAAATTAGTCCCCTAATTTAATTAGTGCCCCAAAAAGAATTTCTCTCAAGGTACATTTCAAATATCCCAAAGACATAGATCAGAAATCAATTATTCTGACATAAGAAATAACCTGGATTAATAAAAAAAAAAAATCTTTAGAAACTGGCTACCAACAACTACAGAGAACTGAGGTAGGTTGTCTTTGCAGATGTTCATTTTGGCTAAAAAGTTGTATATAAGCATCATCTTATAAGGAGTGCAGTAGATTCAGCCTATTACAATAGTAATAGTTTCTAGATGTAGTGTTGCTTTCTAAAATTTTCCACAATGAAGAATACATGCCAGTGAACTTTCAAAATAGTAAGGGTGGTGATCAAATAAAAGTGAGAGTCACTCAGTCGTGTTCAACCTTTTGCAACCCCGTGGACTGTAGCCCACGAGGCTCCCCTGTCCATGGGATTCTCCGGGCCAGAATACTGGAGCGGGTAGCTGTTCCCTTGTTCAGGGGATCTTCCCAACCCAGGGATCGAACCCAGGTCTCCCACATCGCAGGCGGACTCTTATACAGTCTGAGCCATCAAGGAAGCCCAGAAAGAAGGTACTGTCAACTAAAAAAAATGCACAACCTAAAACTTGAGAATTATGTTTTATCTGGTGGACAAAACTGAGCACTTTAAGCCAGAAAGTCTCTCAGATAGCTCTGAGGGATGGCACCAAACAGGTCAAGGCGGAGCCAAGCTACATAAAAAACCAGGTAGTTGGGATATCAAAAGATTACTGTTAATTCAAGAACACCAAATGTTTAGCACTTTTCTGTGTATGGGAAGATGCAAGAGTCTGGGCTTATGGAAATCATTCCTTGGAAAGGCACCTCAGCTATCTGGGCCGGTGTCCAGCTTTTCTCAATCCTGAATCCCCTCAGGGAGCACCGTTGTGGGAGGGCCGCAGGGACTGTCAACTGGATGACTGCAGCATCCGTTGTTTACTGAAATGGCAAGCGACATTTCTCATTCACATTAGGAACTATCTGGGGGCTTCCCAGGTGGCTCAGTGGTACAGAATCCACCTGCCAGCGAAGGAGACATGGCTCAATCCCTGGGTCAAGAAGATCCCCTGGAAAAGGGCACAGCAACCCACTCCAGTGTTCCTGCCTGGAGAATCCCATGGACAGAGAAGGCTGGCGGGCTACAGCCCATAGGGTCACAGAGTTGGACACAACTGAAGCGACTTAGCATGGAAACAACATGAACTATTTGAGGGGGAAAACCCAGCAATCCCACTCCTGGGCATACACACCGAGGAAACCAGATCTGAAAGAGACACGTGTACCCCAGTGTTCATCGCAGCACTGTCTATAATAGCCAGGACATGGAAGCAACCTAGATGCCCATCAGCAGACGAATGGATAAGGAAG